TATAGAAGTTTTGGATGAGATTTTCATCAGCAGCCAGGTTTGCCTAGAATGGTGTCATTATTAAGAACAATTTCCTTGTTCACGTGTACAGATAGGTCCACTTTGGTCTATGAGCAGAAAAGAAATATGCCAAGGCAAGGGAACCCATCTTAGTGGGACCAGTAGGTAGTGTTCACCCTGCGGGGTGTGTGGGTCCTAATTAGGGTCCCCTGATATAGTGATGAGGACACTACTACTGTAAAAAGGCACCATCCTTCAGATGAGATATAAAACTGAGGTCTCAACTTTTGGTGGTCCTTAAAAATCCCAGGGCGTTTCTCGAAAAGAGTAGTGGTGCTAAATGCTCCTTTGTCATGGTTGTCCTATATTTTGCAAAAACTATAATACAGGAACTTGCCTTTGTACTGTATAGTAAATGTCTATAAGGACTGTGCCACTCAGTTTACATGTGGAAACGTATTTAAATAAAATTTTATTTACATAAAGCTGGAACAAGCTGCCAATGCAAAGTTTTGTAAGCCCAAAGCCTGGATTCCTTCAAGAAATGAGTGATTTGGGTGAGATTCTTGGGTCACTTAGAGTAGTTGTTTGCACTCAGATGAGCTAAATGTCCTTTTCTCCTCTCATTTTTTTCTGTTTTGTGTTCTTGTTACTATGGTATGTTATGGTAGTCTACTGTTGTGCCATGCAGTGAAATCACCTTGGAGGAGCATACATTAAATTATAAGTAAATTAGTCTAGAAGTGCAGAGTAAAGAGGGAAAAACACATCAACTTATTATAATAAATCTTCAGAAGAAATCTTTGTGTCCTCTCAAGGTTTCATTCTTCTTTTACAAATCTTGGGTATTCAGCGAATGTCTGTTCAGTTGATAAGGCTATGTAACTGTAGTTGAAATAAAAGTTTGTTTGCGGAGATCCAAAGATCAGCTAGAGAAATCTGAAAAATGTAGATTTTTTCCCTACAGTTGAAGGACAGATCGAGACAGGTTGAAGGAAGGAAAACGAAGAACAGGTTCATAGCAGGAGGGAGGAGAGAACGAGCCAGACTTTTTTCCAAAATGGCAGGCCGTACTGGATAGAGCGCAGTGGGCTGTTTTGCGCTAGAGTGGTTGTCATAGCAACACATTTGTAGAATGCGGCTTTAAGAGCAGAGGTGCAAGGAGAGAGGGCCACATGATACCAAATTCTTTGAAAGCTGTCTCATGGAGCTAGGAATAGGCAGATTTTGGCTTCTACTTGTTTTCAGCTGTCTTTTAAAAAAACACAATTTCAAATCCTGTGAGGAGGGATTTTTCTTGTTTATGTAACTGATCAAACAACAGGGTTAAAATAGCTGATTAAAATGTTTCATCACTGAAACAGAACTGATGTGTCTGTGATGATGCTTGAGGATTTTCTTTGTTCAAAGCAATGCACGTACTGTATAGGTGCCCAGAAGGTTATTTGAAGGGGCTGCTGTTTAAGCTCTATTGTCCTCACATTAGTGTGAAGTGTCTTCAGCCCGAGCCGCTGCAAGGTTTTTGATGTGTCTTCAGCTTACTGCAACAGGGGTTCTTAAAATGGTAGCACAAAGTTACAGGGGGCTTGAATCTGTTGGGGAGTCTGTGCCCATGTTGTTGGAGTGCTACCAGTGAGAGCGACATCAGTCCTCCAACGAGTGCTAACTGAGCTGTAGGCACTGTGGGGCTCGCAGGGTGAAAACTAGTGGATGACTTTACCATGCACATGATCCTT